CCTACGTCGCCTTCTTACTCGACCAGCAGCGCGATGCGAGAAGGGCTTTGCATCAGCAGCGTGTCTTCCGGACTCGTAGAACATTAGAGACGATCGCGGACCACCACCTCGAGCGTTACTACCGCTTGCCGAGGCCAGCCGTGCAGAGGCTCTGCGATGCTCTGGCGCCGGCGCTTCGACGCCCGACAGCTCGTTCGTGCTCGCTCCCCGTCGACGTTCAAGTGCTGCTTGCGCTCCGCTTTTATGCGAGCGGGAGCTTTCAGTCGGTGGTGGGCGACGTTGCAAACATCAGCCAGTCGAGCTCCTCACGGATAATCAACGGAGTGAGCAGTGCGCTCTGCGATCTCGCCAACAGTGGCATCAAGTTTTCCACGACGTCGCGGGCAGCGTTGCTCACTGCACGCGGTAAGTGTTTTCCCCAATGTGGGGACCGTCGGTTCAATGCAATTAACAAAGCCAGAGCCACGTTAGCGCGCTTACTCGGACTGATCCTTATATTTGGATCTGCGGGCTAAAATTCCGCCATCGGCGTCCGCTTTCCGTGCGCGACGCAAAGTTTTGCTCTGAGGAACCGATCTCTCGCACAACATGAGTGTGTAGCCTATTCTCTGCCGCAGATGCAGGCTGAAAGATGGAGGATTTGCACCACGCAAAGTGGCAATTAAAATCACTGCCCCCCCCCCCCCCCCCCCCGTTTCCTGTTTAGTTAATTATGTTGAACGATCGTGATCGTACCTCATTTGAGGCATGTCTCATCTAGAAGTGTTATCTCAGGTAGGAAAAGTGTCTGCATTACCTGTTCTAGCTCTATAAAAATACACCATAACATAATCTTTGTTGTTTAACCTCTAGGCTTCTTGGAGATCAACGGGTTCCCCAAGGTGTTGGGGTGCATTGATGGGACACACATCGCCCTGAAAATCGCGAAAAAGGAGCAGCACCTCTACCACAACCGGAAGGGCTACGACTCGCTGAATGTGCAAGCCATCTGCAACGCCAGCAACGAAATCACACAGCTCACCGTGAAGTGGCCAGGAAGCACGCACGACAGCTTCATGTGGAGAAACTGTGACCTGGCTGACAAGTTCGAGGCGGGCAACATGCCCGACGGGTGGTTGCTTGGTATGCTTTGGTCCCAATTTATAGAGTTATTTGATATTTAGCAGCCTGAATGACAATGCCTTATCACACTTAGAATCAGAAATGTATGTAATGCATTACTAGTAATAAGTTACTTCTACCGAGTTACTTTCTAAGAAAAGGAATGAGTAATGCACTTAGTTACTTTTAACGCCAAGTAACGAGTAATGCACTTAGTTACTTTTAAGGCCAAGTAACGAGTAAATGTATTTCGTTACCTTTGAGGAGCAAAGTGTACAACACTGTTTAAACAGCCTTGTTTTGATTTTAACCTGAGTATGCATCTATTGCGAGAAAGGCAAATGAGCAACCCCAAAAAACGACTAAACGCTATGACAGTATAGCAACGTTTATCGCTGCACACGTCAGTCAAACTCTACAGCTGGGAATGTCCTTCACCGAGCGAACACAATGAGGTTAGTTGGTTGAACCTTCCAGAATCATGTACATAGCATCTTTTGGGGTAGACCAATCTCACCAACTACTCTGTGCACATGTGTCGCCACCATGACCGCAGTTCACAAAGAGCAGGCAGCAGTGCGCAGGACGGTCACACTGTTTCACGTTCTGCACGCGCAGGCTGGCAAATCGGTTTTCACGCCTGCGAAAGGACTGCAGCTCACAGAATAAATCGCAGCACAATGAGCACATCACAACCAAACTGGCTGGTAAAATGAGTCTATTGGATCTCGTCGAAAGTGATCATGATGCAGTTCACGAGCTGTTTTCGTGCGCACCTCATTATAATAAGTTATGAAAGCACACCAGCATAATGCCGATTGACATAGAAACTGAGAGAAGGTGGAAATCAAACCTGCGAACCTTTACGAGTGCGAACATTGGTTAAGTGCTTTGTTTAGTGTTGCTCACACGTAGCTCGTTCGCAGCTGACATAGCCGTCAGAAAGAAACAAATTAGGTGGGAGTTGCACCAATGCAGCTACGAGAGGAAAAGTGTGAGGTAGTTAAATTTAGGTGGAACATTGTGTTGATTGCATTACACACTGGCATAAAATCTCACACCGTTTGCAATATTTTAGGGGACGCAGGTTACCCCCTCCAGCCGTGGCTCATGACTCCCTTCCGTAAGCCGCGGAAGAAGGAGGAAGAGAACTACAACGAGTGCCTCACGAAGACCAGACAGGTCATCGAGAGGACTTTCGGAATCCTCAAGTCACGCTTCAGATGCCTGGACAGGTCCGGAGGGGTCCTCCAGTACACCCCTAGTGTGTGCTGCCGCATAATTGTGGCCTGTGCAGTCCTGCACAATTACTGCATCCACCACCATGTTTCCCTCGCTGAACCACCCGGTAAGGCTTTGTGCATTGGAGCACTAGGAATGCCACATTAACGAGTTTAGCGACAGCATTGTTCGGTGTGACCCCGGGCTCTTCATTCTGCTCGTCACAAGGGGGTAAAGGGGAAACTAATTCTGGTCGCCTGCAAGCTCAACAGTAATCTCTTTTACAAGCTCCCTGCTTACTCTAATTTTTATTTTGTAGGTATCAATTCGCACACTATTATATAAGGTGTGTCACCGCTTGCAAATACAGGCGTTAAATTTGCTGGAGGAAAGTCACGCAAACAGTCCGCTTGATCAAAGGCGCAGTCAACTTTGGCATTCATGAAGCTTTACCTAGAGTCTATATATGGTTTCAAATAGTACCAAAACCCCAAAGCTCATTTCAGAACCGCGTTGTGGCGCAACAGTCACATTAACAGATGTGTCAATATGTCGCTGCCCTGCGTGGTCAAAGCGAAGTGCGGACCATGTAGTGTCCGCTCTCACTCGATACTTTCACCGTACTCTTCCGGCCTGCGGTGGCAATGGTTTGTTTTTATTGACCTTCTTAGCTTCATTCGAAGCGTTTGCATGACTTGCGCACCGCTGGTTCACTTCGGGACTCATTGAAGCTGAGGCGGATGTTCTACCTTTTAAGCCTAGCGTCTCATTCGCAGCACCAGCTCTCCCTGTGCGCTCAAACGAGCCAGCAGGGTTTGGCAGGCTAGATCAGGCTACTTAAAAAATAAGGTACTAGAGAAAATCAACACACCTTACGCCTGTTCTTAACTTATCGTAAGCGTCACTCACCTGCTGGCTGTAGACCAACTCGTGTTTGCAAACAAAATGGAGCGCCCCTAGCGGACGCCATCGGCGCCGCACATGTGCGATAGAGTGTGGGCAAGAAGCTCGCCGTCGTCCATAAGCAAAGTATTGAAATACGATGTTGTCGCCGTCAGTGTCAATCCCCGTGCTTTTTCACGTTGGAATTTCTTATCCTACGTTTTCCTGGCAATGTGCGACTACTTTAGCGGCTTCAGCGAAATTAATGAGGCTCGTTACACCACAAAATTGCCTGAATAATGTGACATGCGGCGACTGATTCCACGTGGACACCACAGAATGGATGCTGAAGCCTGATTCGCACGATGACGTCGCTCGGGCTGCAATATGGTGAACCGTAGCTGAGATGGTCGACGTCGATACTAAGAATCTCAAGCAGAATCGGACCAAGTGAATCAGGCATAACAAGTCGGTGATGGCAGGCACGTAGCCAGGCCATGGGGCCCAGGCCCCCCTTGAAATCTTTCTTTTTGCTGGGGCCTCCTCTCCCCCTCATACAGCATTTTGTCATGGGCGGGCCCCCCCGAAACAAAATCCTGGCTACGTGCCTGGGTGATGGCCATGGGTGACAATGATCAACATCTCCTTGTATCTACTGTTTACACCGAGTCTACTTACACGAACCAACCTTCAAACTTAAAGGTCTTTTGATTAAGTTACTTCTGATCGGAATTACCGGGTCAACGTTCCGTCTACGGGACGCTGTTTGAACAAGCATACGAGAACAGGCAGAAACGTTTGAAAGAGCAGACGGCAGTTCGAACGATCAGGCGGCTGTTTGAATGTGATGAAGCACTGAACGTAGTCCGCAGGTGGTCCGTACAACTCTGGTTTTCCCTCCTTCATGTTGGAACAAAACAAATAAATCTGACGACCCCAAGTATCCGCTAAATCAACCCAAAGTGCTTCCCGCACAAGTAATTGTGGTCCGATGGCGTCTGGTTTTCCTCTTTCACAGCACCTATCCACATTCTCGGACGAACCGAGCAGGCAGAAAACTCATAAAAAGTGACCTTAACTTTCCCCGACTTCTCTGGTACAGCCCCAGCCACAGTGTATTGACGAAAAGGCGGGTTTTTGTATTGTTTCTTCCAAAAGAGCGTAGGAATGCATGTCCCACATGGTGATTTCTGCTCACAGCTACAGACCGGAAGTGCGCCCAATGCGCCACCACCGAGCCGTGACGTAACAGAGTTGAATTTGTGTATAAGGCTCCTCCTGTACATATTGCAGAAGTGATTTGATCTAGTGTCGGGAGGGTCTATTATCACGAAGGGCCCTGCACCCGTGGTTGGCCACTCTGCTTCCAAAGTGGGTGGTAATGCCTCTCATATGTTAAAATCACATGAGACCCACAATTCCCTTTCCATACTGTTATTTTCGTTTATGAACTTTCAATAAGCCTCTATCTGGATTTGTGACACCCGCAATTTATAAATGAGTGCTTCCAGCACCTTAATTCAGCTATTGCAGTGTTATAAGTTTAAATTGTGCTTGCAAGCCTTCGAGGTGTTCATTTTCTGTTGTGCTAAATGTGGCATCCTGAACAGTTCCAGAATCTGAGGACGAGGAAGAGGAAGAAGACGACAGGCCAACCACTGCCCGAGACACGGCCACTGGCACCGCCGTCAGGAATGAGCTTGTGAACAGCGTTTTCAAGTGAAACTTCAGGGAAACGAGAGTCTTCAGTGCATTAAAGAAACAGTTTATTGTTATTCTACCTAAGTGAGGTTTTATTAATACCTGGGGACAATTTTGCCATTTTCAAACCGAACATTCAGTTTGTATGCCTTCAGTGCCACCATCTGCTCCTGCAGGACCACAATCCTGTCGAGGCGTTCCACAATAGCCTCCTGGGTCTCGATTATCTCGTGGCTAGGGGCGTCCCTGCTACCTGCACATCAGAGAAAAATAATTTCTTTGTGATTGAAAACCTAAAATCCTTGCACCACTTTCACGCTACTGTTGTGACACTTGTATGGAAAATTAATGTCCAGATGTAGCTGTAGGAAGCATGCATGAATGAGCAAAACAAGTAGTTAATGAGATAATTGGCGGATCAGTGGCCGAGTGTTAGTGCATTGCAGCTCAGAGGGTGTAGATGGCATGGCAGATTGCCTTGGCATAGAATTTACAGTGGATCTCTCTTCTCGCACATGTTTTTTTGCTGCACATTCTATCTAGTATCATTTTTGTATTCAGAGTTAAATTTGTATTGCTGCATGCTGCAATCCAAATCTAGCAGGACTATACTCACGTTTGTGGTTAGACCTGCGGCTACCTGAAGTGTACGGCAGGGCCTCGCTCTCCTGGAGCCCACCTCCGCTTGCACCGTGGACATCTGAATAGAAATAACAATAGAGCTGAGTACTAGGAAAATCTGCTGTTGAAGTATGTGGTCGGCTGTCGAGCAAGCATGATTATTCAACAAAATCTGAAGTCGCGCACCTGCATCACCCTGCGGGCGTTCCGGAATATTATCAGCCTGGCTGGAAGGCAAAAAAGATTTAGTTCTTATTAGGTAATGAAACAAGTATATTCACTATGTGCAATGTTATGATTGATAAGGCAGCAAACCTTGTATGTCGTGGCCTCACTGAACTAGGCCTGCTTGGTTCTGCAGTAGTATCTTGAACACAGATTAAGAAACATGTTGTACTGACCCAGAAAACTGAATCTTCGGTAAAAATATAGTACACTTCTGTCTACTGAGAAACCCTCAGACAAGGGAAGCGAAAAAAACAGAACAAACACAACATTAGATGATGGTACATCGTTGTGCTTGTCCTGTTTCTTCAACTTACTTGCATTGAGGTTTCTCAGTGTAACCGTTCACCAGCTTGCCTGTGCCTGAACTCTTATTACCGTTATGCCCTGTTTATCCAAATAATTTAGTCCCTCGTCGAGACCATTTGGATATAGAGCTATTTGATTAGTCAAGCTAGACTGAAATTTTTAGGCCGTGCTCCCAAACCAGGGGTTTGGTTTACAGGATGCCAAGGTGCAACATGACTAGTTAAATTAACCAGACCAGTATCTATTATGAACTCACCGAATGAAAGAACTAGGTCTACTGATCTGGGCCTAGCAGCGTCCGAAGTTATGGGAGTGCCTGGAAAATTGAAATTTTAATTAGGAAACATACTACTTATGAAACATTTTTTTTGTTGTTGTTTTAGTGTGGTAATGTGGGTTTTAATAGAAAGGTGACATAATTTATATTGGAAAGATAAAGTAAAACCCTCTCTGACTAAGCTAGGGTCCAGGAATGGAATTAGTATAATGAAAGAGCATAATAATTATGAGATACCCATTAATGAAGGAATGCTAGTGCCTTGCCGAGCCTCCTGTTAACCTACCGGAAAGCGGCAGGCTGAAGGGCTCGCCATTAGGTACCTCTACAGGAACACCAATGTCGAACGCGCCTGGGATGCCAATCATGGCCTCCACATTCAGAAGTCCCACGACCCTTTCCTCCATGTCGTTCAGGGGCTTGTCTCCTACGCCGCCTCCAGTCGCACACTGACTGCGCTTGAGGGCTGCACCTGTGGTTAGTACCAAATAACATTGCACGGATCTCGTCAGAAAAACGAGATATACATCGCGCGACTGATCAGCTGCTCCTGGATTTTCTTCGCGTAACAGACTGCCACTGTACTGTTGGTGAGTTCGAATGTTGGTTAAAACCAGTGACATCTAACTGCGCATTATCTCGTGCACGACACTGGTATGAGCGAAATTCAAACGATTGCACATTTCATTACACGCTTGGGCTGAAGTCCTATGATGCTGACAGAAGACAATAACCTTCTGCGGCATTCGGGAACATAGCACTCGTCGCCCTTCGGCAACTTCACATCTTCAAGACTGCCGCCAAAAGTAATAAAAACTAACTTGAAGGAGTAAAATGTGCTCGCTCGTAGGCTCACCATTCGCGCCAAACGTTTCGCGTTACGACGCATATCGCAACAACTTACTTCGCGAACTGTGAAAATGGGTTATCTTACCTCGCTTCTTCTGGAAACTCTTGTAGTCAGCCCATTTTTTTTTTTTACATCGGCGATCTCTCTTTTCGACCCAGACACAGCAAACAAGTCATTCGTAATCCTCTGCCAAGCCCGCTGCTTGGCGGCCGATCCATGGGGCCCGTCTCCTTTCACGTCGATCGCGATTCTATGCGCTTCATACCCATCAACCAAGGTCGATAATTCGACCTCTGAAAAGTTCTTCATCCGAGCCTTCTTGTCGGCGGGCGGTGTCGACATTTCCCGGTGTCAATCGGTTCGACCGGCGAGAACGAATGCACGTGGCAGACAAACGCATGTGTGCGGACAAAGCGTCCCCTGCGGTTGACATGGCAACGCTTCCCTCTCGCAGCTCACGTTGGTCGCGAGACACCGGAAGTTTCTCTCTTTCCCTCACTTTTTTTGTCGTAGGATTTTCGTTCGTAAGTAGCCCTTCGAGAATACCGATTTCGGCCTGTCGTAGGAACTTCTTGGGATACGAACTTCTTAGAAAAATTGTCTTAAGATAAGACGTTCTTCGTGAATCCGGCCTCAGGTCTTTGTGCCTTCAACCGCGGAAGAAATCTCCTCTCGTGCAAGGTAATGGTACAGGGAACACTGAAAAACAAAGCAACCACCCCAAAGCGCACCCTCATGCATCCGTTCGCAGGTCTCTCTCTCTCTCTATATATATATAAATATATGTAAATATATATATTTATTTATTACAACAACAAAAACTTTTGGGTCTCTCCATCTATTGTTATGGACGGTTGAGTGATACATATTCCTAGAAACAGAATTCTGGTTGTCTCCTTCAACACTCTTTTTCCATAATGTTTTTTTTTGCTTAACACTGCAGTTTCTCCCCAATCAGGCAAACACATTTCTGCACATGTTTAGCGATCTCAGAATTTGAAGATCTGTCCTTTAGCGCCCTCATGTACTTAATACGTCTGTCATTTAGGCACCTTTCATCTGTCCCACTTGCGAAAACCCACAGGCCACTGGCATATCATACACTACTGCAGCCTGGCATCCAACGGTGATTTCGCTGTGTTGTTTTTGACGACCCTCTGCTCTGGCCACAAACGGCGTAAGCCTGTTCAACTTAAAGTCGGAAGAGAAAACCACCCCCACCCGTAACCTCCGCCACCGCCAACAGGTTGCGCGAAAAAATGTTTGAAAAATTAAATGCTCACTAAACTCTCTGGCTTCTCCCTTTCTTTCCTCACCACTCCTGCGAATTTCTCCAAGCACTTCCTTGCGACCTCCTTCTCAATGTTACTCTTATACCCCGCCTCCTTTACGCATACCACGTGACTCCTAACAGCTTCCTGTACTTTGTGCCTGCAATTCTTTTTTAGAGCGTTGCCCAGCAAAGACATCACTACACCTCGTTTGACCAATTTTGAATGACAACGTTTGTATGGCAATAAGGGTTTGGCCGCGAGCTTGCCATATTCTCAGCACAACCCTTATAGCGTGTTCACCCTCAGATCCTTATACTGCTGCACACCTTCATCAGGATCCTCACTCCTAAATGTCAACCCCGGCGCCGCCTGTACTCTGAGCCCTTTGATCTTGTGTAGTGCCTTCGGCACAACCGAAAAAATCAAAATGACATCAAGGTATCTCCTAATCAAAACCGACACCCTGGAAACGACTCTACCGCTCGCCCTCAGGCCAGGCCCAACGGTGTCAATGATACCTAGGACAACGCAGGCGCCAGGGAAGAACCGATGCAGACTCCTTTCTTGTATATAAATTTGACCCCTAATTCGTCCTCGAATTCGACCACTGTGGATTTCAGATACAGTTCTGCTAGGTTCGAAAAAACTTCCTACGTCTATCCCGGACTGTGACTGGAACCAAACCAAATTCGCCTCTGACATGTACCTTAACCTTGGGAGTAGTAATGGTTGGTTGCGAGAATAATATGTCTTTTTGTCAAGTGACATGACAACGCACTTCTTCTGGTGGAAAGACGTTAAACAGCTTACCAGCTCTTCCGATTTTCTGAGAACGGCCACCGGAGCGGCCACTCGAAATTCAAGGAGAAGGTGCTCAAGTCATACCGGAACAGCCTCACAATGAAACTCAATAAACTTCTGAGATGTGTGAGTCGGTTTAGATTGTACTGCGAGGAGTGAATTTAATAGTTTAAACAGGTACGATTTTTGGAAGAAAGGTGTGTCACGAAAAAAGAAAAAGGTTTGGTAATACAGCCGATGGGGGTCGGTTTTAACAGAGAAAGTTCCCAGAGAAGCAAGAATGGGCAGAAGAAAGTATGTCCAGAGCAATCCAATGGGTAAACCCATTTAATGTGGTCGTTTCGAAACGTTCGGCTTCCTTGTTAGAAAGAGGCCACAAGTTTTGTTTGAATATTGAATAACTGGTTTGAGTTTAGCTAGTTGGGACATGTCCTTGAGGATACAGCTTGAACACTAAACACTTACACACAGACAGGACAGGACATACACAGGTGGAGGAAGAAGTATTAAATAGCTTATAGTCAGTTCTGTGAATGACCTGTCCTGTCTTTGTGTAAGTGTTTAGTGTTCAAGCGGTTTCCTCATAGATTTGGATGTTGAGCCGTGAAGATTAGATATTGTGTCGAGCATCCATAGCATAACTGCAAAAGTCACAGTAGATGCAACGCAAGGGTTCGGTGACCAGTCGATCAAGGCAGTTTCGAGGTTGGTGGTTACAGAGAGTTGGCCTGAAGAAAGAGATTTTACGGTAGTCAGTGGGCTTAAAAAAGAGTTAGAAGTCAGTGGTATTTCGTTTCTTCAGACAGACAAGTCCTGACAGTTCGCGAATCTGCCTGAACTCGTGTTTAAAGAGAAGTCTAAAGCAGCGGTTGGGTGGTTCTTCCAGCCATGCAAGGTTAATCTCAAATATATGAAAAGTTATGTGTTGGAAATACTCAATGAGTGTCAGACGGAAAAAGTTGCAAAAAAGGTTTGAGATTTACGAGTGATTCGTTCTCTCTAAAGTTCTTCCAAAACGACCACAGTCTATACTACCACTCACGGTGGGTGTAAGTGAAAATGGTACTTAGCAGAAAATTTAATAAACATTCCTCCAAAACTGCGTGCCATCTATCGAGATGACCAGTCCAATCGTCCTTAGAAAATCGGAAGAACTGGTAAGTTGTTTAACGTCTTTCTACCAGAAAAAGTGCTTTGTCATGTCACTTGACACTAAAGACTCATATTCTTCTTCTCCGTCTACCCTCTCTACTCTCAAGTTCAAGGGACTTGTTAGAGGCAAATTTGGTTCGGTTCCAGTCACTATCCGGGACAAACGTAGTACGTTTATTAAACCTAGTAAAACTGTTTCTGAAATCCACAGTGGTCGAATATGAGGGCGGCAAATTTGCACAAAAGGAAGGAGTGTGCATTGGTTCGTCCTATGAGCCGGCGTTGTCCCAGGTATATTTGACTTTGTTGGACGTGGCTTAGGGGCAAGCGGTACAACCGTTTCCAGAGGGGTCGGTTTGATTAGGAGATACATTGATGACATTTTGATATCTTCGGTTGTGAGAGAGGCACTACAGAAGATCAAAAAGGGCATAGAACAGGCGGCGCCGGAGTTCACCTTTAGCAGTGAGGAGCCTGTTGAAGGTTTGCTGCAGTATTTGGATCTGAGGTTGAACACGCAAGACGGGTTTCGCAGAGAATATGGCAAGCTTGTGGCAATACCCTTGTTGGCATATAAAAATTTTAATTCGAAATTAGTCAGACGTGGTGTAGTGATCGATGTCTTTGCTCAACAACGCTCTAAAAAAGTGTTACCAGCACAAAGGTCTTAGGAGACAATTGGTACGCGTAGAGGAGGCGGAGTATAAGAGTAACAATCTGGAATGGGTCGCAAGTAAGCGCTTGGAGAGATTCGGACGAGTGGTGAGGATAGAAAGGGAGACACCAGGACAGGGTCGTGAGCATTCCAATTTTTCATAATTTTTCGCACAACCTGTTGGCGGTGACCGGGAGGTTCTTGGTTGGCGTGGGTTTCTCTTCCGACTTTAAGTTGGACAGGCTTTCGCCGTTTGTGGGCAAAGCACAAGGTTGTCAATAAAGGCACAAGGAAGCTACCGTTGATTGCGAGGTTGGTGTAGTGAATAGTATCCCAATGTCCTGTGGGTTTTCGTACGTTGCAGAGACGAAAAGTTGCCTAAATGACAGACTTCTTGAACACATGAGGGCAGTCAAGAACAGATCTCCGAATTCTCAGATGGCTAAACGTGTGCAGGAATGCAATAATTCTTTTCTTGATTAGGAAAAAACTGTGGTGTTAAAAAAAAAAAAGATTCTGCAAAAAGAGAATTGAAGGAAACAATGAGAATTGCGTCCGTAGGAAATTGTATCAGTCAACCGTCAATAGAACTAGACGGACCGACCCAAAAGTTGTTGTTGTAATAGAGTGATCTCTAGCTAATATGGACGCCTCCGTTCTACCAAAAATCGTTCATAATGTAAGATGTCCATGTTAACGGGACAAACATGCATCTATTTTCCTAGGTTGTTCCCGAAAATGGAGTCAATATAGCGGGGTATCCATATTAACGAGACATGATTATATATATATCAGGGTGTCGAACCGGAACCGAACCGAACCGAAAACCGGAACCGAACCGGTATTTTTTCCGGAACTGAACCCGAACCCGAACCGTTATATTGTTATCGCGATGAACCCGAAACGGAACTGAACCGGAAAAAAATAACGGTTACCGGCTCATGTCAAAACGGTTCGGCCACGCGCTGTTGACAATGAATGTGCTATCAATGCCATTTGTTTTTGAAGTGCCGTCAACTGACACACACCTCGCTTACATATTTTTCTTCTCCACTCAGTCTTAGGAATATAAACGCTGCATCCATGAATCTTGACAAACGCTGCATCCATGAATCTTGACATAGGAACCAGTATTGCGCTGGTCGCGGCTTGCACGGAA